TAATTTTTATTAACACTCCCCTTCACAGAGATTCTTAGTTTGGACAATAAGTTCATCACCCTATCAATTAAACATTAATCAACAAAGACTGACACAGTGGGTAGGGTGTTAAGCAGGGCTAAATGTTTCTCAGTGGTCAGTCCATTCATCAACATTTTTATGTTATGACTTTTGCTTCCCTAGGAAACCGTGTAACTTAGATGACAAACATTTAACAAACGAGGACTCCCTTTTAGAATAATGCAAGACTTGGGTACCAGCCACACTGGCAGCCAGTTTATATAGGTTTGCTATGATTTTAAATTGGACATGAATGTGGTATGACCCAGTTTTACCAAGAAAATATGCTAATGGCTGGGATCCCAACGCTGGGCAGTGTTACATGGCACAGGGCACATGGATACCTGGTAGGTCCTCAGAAGGTGCTATTGGCATCCAAACTTTCTGGCAGCCCCACAATGAGTAAAAACGTCTCACAAATTTCTTTAAGCCTAAACACTGAGGACGTACTAATGTTTTAAAAGATTAAATTATATAAATGATTGAATGGACTAGAATCTGTTTCCTTCTCCGTCTTTATGTGTTGTAACCTGGAATCTTCATTCCTCAAGATTAAATAATTTTGTTTATATAATTGTCCTTCTCCAGCCTAATTAAAAAAGCTTCTATGGGAGGACTGTAGCCATATTCTCAAGGAGCCTCCTTATTGATTACTGCAATAAAGGAAGGAAAAGCAAAGAATGTGGGTATCTAATCTGTAATATGAAATCTGTTATCTTTGTATTTCTGATTATAAATGATGGCTAAAGGGAGGACACAAAATCTTCAATTCTATGCCCCATAATATCCTGTGGCCTGAATAGGTAGTATTGGCACTTTATGGAATGTCAAAAAGAAAATAAGACCATCAAAAAGCAAACAGTGGAAACCTCTCTGCCTATCTGAGTCTGGCTGTAAAAAGAGCGCAGAGCATTGAATTGTTAACTGTGCTGGGACCTGGGCATAGCACTTTTCTTGCAATGCCACAGGATGGGAGTTGCTGCCTGACAAAGAAAGGGGGTGTTGAGTGGGATTTGGGAAAGAAATGCTAGTCATTTACTTCTCTGATTCTTGTCATGTTTATTGTCTGTACTGCAACAGTTATCACCTTATTCAGTAATTATTTCATCTGTAGTACCATTCTCTCCAAGGAGGGCTTGTGTTCCCTTAAAACAAAAAGCAGGGAATACATCATAACATCTGGCCAGGACTGCATACATGTATCGTAGGTAATGATAAGGACACAGTTGTCCTACTTAGTAATAAATCCTGGGTGCACATTTTTTCATATTCTAATATCTTTAAAATCAAGATTCATCTTACAGTCCATGTTTTTAAAAGCATTTGTCATAGTTTAATTGACAGTTTTTTCATTTTTGGGAGGGCAGCATTTTTTCTGAATAGTACACAAAATAATGCCTCTTTTAGTCAGTGGTATCTTAGATTTGATGAACTATGTTAGAGCTTTTTTTATATTCTTGGTATAAAGATTATTAACTGTATGATGAAGTTATTTAAGTCCCAACTGATATTATATTAAATATCAGGTGATATTCAACATAGTATAATTGAGATACGGTTAAACAGAAGGACCGTGTCTTGAAGTGAGTTCACACTGAGCCCATAAATGTTGATGTAATGAAGGGCACAGCATGAGGCTACCTACCTTCAGATAGATCAAGAATTGGAATTGGAAGCTAACCAGGAGAGTATTTTTGTCTGGAGGAAGGCATGAGGAGGTAGCAAGCAAACTGACTTTCCTGTCATTTAGGGTTTTCACATAGCAGTCTGAGAGGTCTTCAAGATCAGAGTATAAGAACTTAGATATGATATCATGAGCAGAGGGGCACTGGAGGAGGTTGAAGTCTCGGAATACAGTAAGTCTTCACTTGATGTCATTGATGGATTCTGTGACTTTAAGCAAAACAGCATATAACAAAACCAACTTTACCATAGTCTAATTGATATAAACAAGTTAAGTTCCTACGGCATCTCTTCAATGTTGTATAAGGAAACGACATTGAATGGAACGACATTATTTGAGGACCTGCTGTATTACTCTTTGGTTGGCAGTTAAGCAAGAAAAGACACTAACGGGATAAGGCTCTTTTCCTCAAGTGAAAATTTCATTAATTTCTTCTTTAAAATTGAAAGTATGCCTTTCAGCTTAACTCTTGAACCGAGAAGCCTGAGGTAATGATGCTGCTATTTTGTAAGCCACCTAATCACACTCCTTGTTTTTCTGTCACAGATTGCCTTCTCCCAGCACAGCAATTTTATGGATCTGGTACAGTTCTTCGTGACTTTCTTCAGGTAATTTCACTTATACAAACTATATCTGTTCTTTAATTGAGACACTTAATTCCATTAACAGCTTGTAAAAGACACATGAATAACCTTGTGTTTGCACAGCAGATCAAACTAACTATATTTACNCCTGGCCCTCGGCCGTGAGGTGTGTTTGAAGGCAGCTGTCCTCACTCCCGTGTGTGACAGGCTTGGGTGCAGAATAACCACTGAGGCTTCAGAGTGCCCCACACCCCTCCTACCAAGCAGTCACCCCATATTCCTCCGCACTTTCAAAACTCTAACACATCCTCTCCGTTCCCTCTATCCAGGTCTCGCGGTTTGGGCCCTGCCTCTCTCTCGGTTTTGAAGGACTCTCCTCTTTGTTTCTATCCTCACCCCTCCCCTCACTCCCACCCTGGGGAAGGAAGATCCAAGTTAATTTCTTTGGGGCCAAACCTTCCAAGTAAAAATGACGATTTTTCTCAATGCAGTTCCTGAAATGCTAAAGAAATTGTTCAGCGGAAGAAGTGGGGGAAGAGATTTTTTTAAATCCTTATTGCAGAGTTTCCTAAATTGTGGCCTCTGGCCACCAGCATCAGAATCACCTGGGGAGCTTACACAACAGGGGTAGGACTAGGGCCCGGCATTCCATCTTTTTTGCAAGCTCTCAGAGCTTAAGACCCACGTTCTAGTTCTTGGAGTACAAAGGTGTACCTGCTCTTGTGTGGGAGGTAAGGAATCACCTTTTCATTCTTTCTCCTACAACAGCAATTAAAAAGTCAGATATTGATGTCCTTGTATACAGAATGCAGGAACCTTCTTTTCCAGGTGATCCCTGTGTACACAGCCATAGTACACGGTAGAATATGATTATCCCGTGCTCTGAAAGGAAGTGGATCGAGTGTTGAGAGTGTAGAGAAGAGAGAGCCAATACCCAGTGGATGGTGGGGCGGCTGAATGAGGAAGGGAGGATTTGTGCTGGCCATGGAGGGCAGGGAGGACACTCTGGTGACAGGAAGATCAAGTACAGTAGTACAGTCACCTGAAAATACAAAATTAGTGCTTAGGAAGGTTAGGTCCACAACATCCTACCCCAAACCCTGGGGCTAGCTGGGCTTCTGAGTTTTGTTTTTCAGAATTTATTTTAACAAACCCAGAGCCCCATCCACCCATCCCCGGGCAAACACACCTTAATCAAATGTACTGCTTGCTGAAAGTGGAGATGGCAACAGGTTGTGGACATGTAAGGGGACAAAATTTTCGATTTCCTGGAATGTGGAGAGTGATACCTACTGTTTGGGAAGGGAGAAGAATGTCATTGGGAGTTTTAGTTATAAATTGCAAAGATATTTTCTTCTTTGTATTACATAAATTTTATTATATTGTAGAAATCCTTATTATCTTTAGTAGAAGCAAAGTCCATAAACATATTTCAACTT